TTGATTGGAAGGAACCAGTCATAACCTTATAGTTTTTCCTGAATAACTGCTGACCTGGTTCACAGATGGTGAGGGTGGTTTATCATAAGCCTAATGAGAGCACACTAGACAGAAGTATTGTGTTATGAAAACCATAATTTCGTTAGAGGTGCAGGAAAAGGTGTCAGTTAGTTGCATTGTGAGTGTTAGTGCAATTGTTCAATGGAGTCCAGTCCTATTACTACAGACTAATCAATAATTGTAATCTCATTTGTACAAAACTGAATAAGATAAGAAGCAGAGAGCTGAATATAAATTATTTTGCATCATTTTACCATCTCTCAAAATATAAATACACAACCTTGCTAAAGTACCCATTCCTTCATAGATTTTACCTTAAGACAGACTGAAACAGTTTATTTCTTATATCACACAACTTTACAACTCTTACTTAATGCTTCTTACTACACCCTTCTTTAACACACTTCATAAACAACACTAATAATAAAAGGGCACTTTAATATCTTTAGTGAAATGTGAAAGAAGATGACTGTCTTCTGGCTTGTAGGGCTGTGTAATCTGGTAAATGTTACTGACATTTCACAGGTCCTTGCTGCCTACATCACCAAGGCATTGATGTTGGAGGCAGCAAGGACCTCAGAAACACTAGTAAACTTCTACCAGACTACATGGTGCTACAATTCAAAAGACAGCCATCTTCGGACTCACTGCCATGAAAAGCTCAAATCTGACTGAAATGTGGAAATTACTGCAATGAAAGGAACAACAATGAACTATTCTTCCTTTCATTAAATGAGGTTCTAATAATGAAAGGATACAGCTTTATACATTTCTTATATTACTTACTGTTGTGGAACCAAATGATGGTAAGTCTTTATGCAGTAAACCATATATAGTTGCTTAGTGACAAAATAGTGGAAACAAAGATTGCTTCATGCATTACACTTTACATGGTCTTCTATTCTATCAACCATCAGGTGACAGGCTGGAAGGAAACGGGCAGATAGAAGGATTCTGTACTATACTACAATGACAATACACTCATATTTTTCAAGTTCCTACAAGAACACCTCTGCGGCAACACGTAATTAATATGAAATCTTGGTGGTTAAGAAAGTTAAGATAAACAGAAGAAAACTGAAAATTACCTCACTTCTGGGTTAATGTCAAAATGTATAATTCAGCAAAATCGGCATGCAAATGAATATGCGGTGTATGAATAGTCATGATTAAATTTCATGACTTATTCCTAAGATACTTTAATGATAATGTTTCAACTATGTAAGTCACATAATGCCAAATATGATGGCAAGCTGATAATGAATGATCTGGTAATGATGTGAAAAGAGTGAGTCATAGGATATTTGAAGAGCTCATGGACAAACAATAAATCACACATACACAGCCAAGAAAGCCAATGCCTAATTCAAAATTGAAAAGTGCCTACTTTCCAGATACAAGTCAAGCAAATTATCACACCAATCTGCCCACACACATTCCAGCTGATGCACAATTGGAGAATAATCATATATAATCATATAAACTAAAAATTCACTTCGTATGGCAATGAGGCTCAGAATTACCTGGCTGGAACTTCAATATCTATAGCCTCAAACTTCTTCAGCTGTGGTTTCTCAAGCTCCTTACTCCTTTCCTCAAGAACCTTCAGTTTTGCTGCACTTTTGTTGAACCTTGATAATGACTGTCGGAGTTCAGCCAATTTTGCACTTCTATTCAACTTCCCTTTCACTTCCTCAAAAGACAAATCCTGTCAACAAAATAAGTTTACTACACAAACCATTTTCACTCTCAAACATGAACAGTATCTGAAACTGTGAATACCATAGTTACTATACAAGATTGCACATGACAGGATGTGTTGTAAAAACTGGTGTGGTAGTTCATAGAACGGTTTGATCATAAACAAAAAATCTTAGTTGTTAGTACCCAAAACATTAACTGCTGAATGGAAGCATGGAACAGGAAGCCAAACAATATTGCCTCCAGTCACACCCCACACACACACACACACACACACACACACACACAGGACTATGCATAAAAAAACTTACTGCATTAGTTTAAAAATGTAATATAATCACATCTTTCTCTTCTGGTTTCATGTAAGACAGGAAATTGACATCATGTGATATGGAATAAAGCAGCTCAAATATATAGTCACTGTATTGTACAGCTGTTCCAAAACATCAAACAATTTGCTAAATTAAAATACTAACTTTGTTGTGATTGATGGGCATTTTATGTGGTGTCATCAATCCAAACTCCTTCCTGCTTTCCTTAATTTTCTCATCAGAACTGTTTTCAACATAACTTTCTTGCATATCAGATACTCCAACATCAGTAGGCTTATCACTGTTATTAAAGCCTTCCCTCATCTTCTTTGGAGACAGCAAACCTTTCAACTCAAATACCACTGGACATTCTGGCCCCTGAAATACACAAAAACCTCTCTAAGGCAAAGTCAAAGATAGGTGTTTTGAGTTTAAAAAACTGCTGAAAATATATTAATCAAAGGAAGAGGAACTAACAACAGAAGCACAAGATTACATAATGACACTTATGATCAGTATTACTCACCTAATATTGTCAGGGTAATTAAATCTAGGTAGCCAGGATAATTCAGTCAGTATAGTGACTAGCTACGGGCTGGATGACCGGGGTTCGATCCCCAACGGGGGAAGAGGATTTTTCCTCTAGCCTCTGCGTCCAGACCGGCTCTGGGGTCCACTCAGCCTCCTATCCAATGGGTACCTGGGTCCTTTCCTGGGGATAAAGCGCGGCCGAGGCATGATGCTGACCACTCACCCCATCTAGTGCTGAGGTCAAGAATGAGTAGGAGCTATACCTCCACTCCCTTCAAACAACCTACATGGTGTGTAGCGGGACAGCATTACTTTACATTTTAATTAAGTCTAGGATGAGAGAGACAGGAGCTAATAACACATAGGGCATGTGAGAAAAGCACACAAAATGTTGGTTGGAAATCCTCAAGGATAGGGACCACTTTGCATACACACATATAGCAGAAAGGATAGCATTAAAATGTATAGTAAAACTCCCCCACTACACACTATGGGCAGAGGCACTTCCAGGAAGAGAAGGTATAGCTCCTGCTTATTCCTGATCTTGACACTAGACCAGGGTCAGTGGCTGCCATCATGCCACAGCTACTCTACTCCACTCTCTCTACACTATACTTTCCAGTATTGCCGCAGAAAAAAAAGAGGAAAAAAGCTTTACCCTGCCAAGGATCGAACTCCGGTCATTTAGTTCGTAGAAAACCACTATACTGACTGAGCTACTCTGATTCAAGTATTTATTACAATGTATCTTTCAGAAATATTGTACAGAAAACTAAAGTTGCCAAGTACCACGGGAAAGCAGAAAGGGGAAATGGTACTCTTCACACAATATACACCTTTTTCCTAGGATTCTGCATTCATCTGCCAGGCACTGGAAATATTCCAATCCAAAGGTTTTTTTAAATAAAAAAAAAAAAAAAAATTACATCTCCCACTACTATTCACTTCAGTGGGAAACAATCTTACCATGAAAGCTTCATCGTCTGCAGATGTATGCACTGTTTTCAGAGTTGTAACATCCGTAGGACGTGCTTCTGTTCCATTAGATTTCACAAGTATCTGACGGATATCGCGTTGTGTTACAGTCTTGGAATGTTTAGTAGTAGTCTTCTTGCCTCTCCCTTGAAAACCTTTCTGGGCAGTTTGTTTTCCTGATGCCTTACCAATACGTCCACATGGAACCAGTTTAGTATTTTCATGTAACAGTTTATTCGCATAATGTTTCGAAACATCTTCAACTAAAATCGTTTTGTAAACCGAATGTAATGCTTCAGACGTATCAGATTTCAACACTTTATGAATGACATGGCCCTCTTTACTTATGGATACATCTGCTTCAGAATCATTATCTAGTACCAACACTTTTTTTCGATTTTGTATCTCGTCTCCTGCTCTTTTACGTTTACTAAAATAGCTTGTAATAGATGTCTGAGACATTTTTCTCACTCGTACACCTTAAATTGTGCTATTCATCACCATCACTCATACGCCACCGGAACAACTCCCGCTCTTTTCCAATAATATACATTAGCGCAATCTGACATATAAATATTGTATTATTCCATGGCATGTTACATACTTTTAAGGTTTGTGGATCAAGAGAGGAGAAAAGTATCATTCATCCTCGCTGGCATATCAGTCTGGATATAAAATCAAGGTCAATAATTATGTGTCTTATTTCTGTCTTATTTATTAACTAACTATATTGTTGTATTATGTAAATCGCACAAATTAAATATACTGTATAAAATATTAAAGACTAATCTCAATCAGCTGGTCGACTTCGCTGCCAAATAGGTTGGTAGCCCTTCATTTGCATAAATTAACATTTAACATACTACATGATCCCGTTTAAAGTTTGTTAACTATTACTTCTTTTTAGAATATCCACACGTTTGTCAAAATGATGTAGTATAACACATGGGTCAGATATTTATTTATTGTATAGTATCTTTCAATTGTTTTGGTAACATGTTTGCTGCGCCATCTGGAACAGTAAGAGCTTTGTTGTGACCGGCCGCCATACTCAAACCATAAAGTTTCTGTTGAAAATGATATTAATTTAGATTAAATGCCATTAGAAATCGCCAAAAATGAATTCTAAGACAGATGTAAATAGACGTGTTCTTGCTATAAAGGCCAAGAAGAAGCGTCATAAACCTGGTAAGAGAAAAGGGAAGAACGAAGAACATGGCTCAACTGCCAACCGAGATACTCGTTCTTACTCAAACAAGGTAGATCCATGCCATTCTTCTTCTAATGAAACTATAGAAGGTGACGAGGATGAATATTTTAGTTCGGACGAGGAAGAACAGGAAGATCCAATGGATTACTGTAAAGGTGGATATCATCCAGTAAGAATTGGGGACTGCTTCCAAAGCAGATACCGTGTCGCCAGAAAGTTAGGTTGGGGTCACTTTTCAACTGTATGGTTATGCTGGGATCTTGTAGATAAGCAGTTTGTTGCATTGAAAGTGGTTAAGAGCGCATCTCATTTTACCGAAACTGCGTTAGATGAAATAAAACTTTTAAAAACTGTTCGTGATAGTGATGTGAACGATCCAAAGAGAAATAAAACCGTGCAACTATTAAATGACTTCAAGATCAGCGGTGTCAACGGCACTCATGTGTGCATGGTGTTTGAAGTGCTTGGGCACAATCTCCTGAAGTTAATAATCAAAAGCAATTACCGTGGGATACCTCGTACAAATGTCAAATCAATAATCAGGCAGGTCTTGGAAGGGTTAGATTATCTACATACAAAGTGCAAGATAATCCACACTGATATCAAACCAGAGAATGTTCTGATCTGTGTTGATGAGGCCTGTATAAGGAGGTTAGCTTCAGAAGCCACCGAGTTACATACAATGGGTTTAAAGTTGCCAGTTTCTTTGGTTAGTACTGCTCCAAAAGAGTTTCAAGAGCCCAATCCAGATGCTAAAATGTCAAAGAATAAAAAAAAGAAGTTAAAGAAGAAAGCAAAACGACAAACAGAACTACTGAGAAAACAGATGGAACAAATTGAGGAAATAGAGGAGCAGAAGCAGAGAGAACTTCAGGCAGAGAACAGGTATCAAACTCCAATGGCAGAAAGTGACTCAACTTTAATACAGGCAGAGAAGTTTGGAGATGATGATGAGGTGAAAGATGATAATTCTGGTGACTGCAAAGTCATAAACACCTCTTACCAAAATGGCTGCGATAAGACAGAACTCTGCCATAAATCCATGGGAGATAGTGAAATAGAAGGGACTGAAGCCATGAATATACAGCAGGTTTATGAGGAAAACAGCTGTTTAGAAGTTGTAGGTGATACAGTGGCTACAGATGGCGAAGTGAAGATTATAGAAGAATCTCTAGACAAGAGCGAGAAGTCACCAGTATTCCCTCATGCTCCCATGGCATTCACACCATTCAACCAAGAATGCAAGGTGCATCAGCCAGATCCTGCTCTGGAAGAATGTGATGTGGAGGTGAAGATAGCTGACCTAGGCAATGCTTGTTGGGTGAATCGACATTTCACAGAAGACATACAAACACGACAGTATCGTTCACTTGAAGTCCTTCTGGGAGCTGGGTATGGAACATCTGCAGATATCTGGAGCACTGCCTGTATGGCATTTGAACTTGCTACTGGAGATTACTTGTTTGAACCTCATTCTGGTGAAGACTATACCCGTGATGAGGATCATTTGGCCCATATCATTGAGCTGTTGGGTGAAATTCCAAGGAGGATAGCAATGTCAGGAAAACATTCTCGTCAGTTCTTCAACAAGAAATGTGAATTGCGGCATATTACAGGACTAAAACCTTGGGGGCTGTTTGAAGTTTTTACAGAGAAGTATGAGTGGGATCACATGGAAGCACAGGA